TAGTTATAAATTTATTTTACAAGCAGTTTGACGTATTACAAACTGTCTATGGACATATTAAACTATTTTTATAATATCTAGTGAAAGGAACGGCAGAAAATGTTGAGCTCCGTCAAACATAAGAAGGAAACGCTGCCAAACTTTCACTATTTTTTCAGATCAATAGAAGTTAAGTTGATTACGGAATCATAAAACTTACGTTGCAATAAAAGTCAAATGATATACGATGTGACGCCGGCCGCCATAAAATGGGAAGTCGTTACTTTCTCTCTCAAAATCGATGAATAACAAAAATAACATATTCTTGTAAGATAATATCAAATATATCAGCATTAGCCGTCAAAACAATACTAATGATCCACTTAACGTTATTAAATGTATATTGTATCACGTACCTGGGTCTTGGTGTAATATGATGTCGAGATGTGGCAATGCGAAGATGCAGTCCTGAAGTGGTTTAGAGCTCAACTGAATCACTTTTAGAATGGTCCTGGTATATCATGAGCTTGTGAACACAAAGAATCGAGTCACCTGACTGAGTTCACTGGTCGGACATAGAAAGTAACACGTAGACCAGATTAAAAAGTGTAGCATGTATATCAGCACGTAAGCACGTTACATCTGTTGTTAGGGTGAATTTATCTTTCCCTGGGTCAGTACACTGGGACAGTATAGAAAAATCGTATGCGCATGCGTGGAACATGCTGGGGTACGTTCTCACCTGTAAAGTAAATTATAGACCGATTAGAAATCTCTCGTTGTAACCTCACCCCTTTTTCTTTGTTTTTTTTAGAATCTACTCTCTACCCTAAACCGCCAGTCTGGATGTTACTTCCGACTGAGCAGACAAACTTAGCAAGTACCAGCTGTAACATCATGCGATATGCATTCAAATAAATAATGGCCAGTTTATGATAACAGGGCATTCCACCTAAAGCGCTCACTTCCAGTTGCGCCAGACATCACAAAGGTATTTGGGAGACGCTGGTTCATAGTGGATATATCATATCGAAGAACGCGCACTGCATATGTGTCTATAATGAAAGACTAAGGAACTGCGCATGCCTAGTTGAAGAATACCAAACTTTATTGGAAACGTTTAACCCGTCTTACTAGGTGAATCGCATAAGCTTGTCGAAGACACTGTGATGATTAAATATAAATATAAATATAAAATATAAATTAAAATAAATTACAAACCAAAGGGTCAAATAAATTTGATTTATAATTGTTATTAATTATTCCAAGACTTGCGAATTAATTGCCTGGCATTACTGTTAAAACATACGACATAGCTCCAATTGCACTCATGCTATAACAATGTATGTTGTGCGTTGTCGGGAATAGTGTGTCTGTTTTGAATCAAGTACGGCACGTGTTGGTGCTACTAACTGCTAGGAGTACAGTACTGACACAGTATGATGTAATTCCAAACAGGCTGACACTAGAATATATTTAAAGCTAAATCAAACATTGTCAGATATTATTTTGAAATGAATTACAGTTACATGTAGTAAAATAGTGTACATTTCGTTTTGATCTGACACGCATGTGCGCGTTCTCGATGCTTTGATTTATTATTTGGATTTTGGCAACACGCTTTGTGATATCTCATGGCGGCTCGTTTAGGGTGGAATTCGCTGTAATCAAAATAGGTATATGTTTTGTTATTAAACTACATTTGTTAAACACATATTGATATACAGCAACGATAAGGCTTAACAATGATGGCATTCTGTAAACCTGCTGTCGACTGGCACTATTGTAAAATATTTTCGAAATATTTAAGCTGATTAGTTAATGATCGTTACCTACGACTTATTAATAATAATATATTTGAGGGTGATAGTCGTCACGCAGCCCGTGTTCGAATTTTGCGCAAATAAAAGATGTATTTCACACACGTTGTCATCGTTGCTATTCGACCCATATCGAAAACGAGGTGGCGCGATGTCCAACGTCCTTTTTTAGTTTAATCTTGATGGTATGGCAAGGACATTCTATTCCAGTGAGTTCAACACAGGAGAATTGCGAACACCACCACTGTTATAAAATATTTTTGAAGTATGCGAACTGATTTATCACATAATTTAATGATTCGCTGTCAATTCGTTATATATATTTTCGTTTCTATACTCTATTAAAAGCAATAGGTTTAATTTGTATGTAGTGTGCATGTTTTTTGTTTTCTTTTGCATTGAAACTCAAAAAATCGAAGATGATGACGTCTATCAAGCAGTAGACACTGCGCATGCGTATTTATGGGCGAATATATGTTACTAGTATTTCAATTCAAATCAGGAGGATGGTTTTATACCGGGGAAAAGGGAAACTCGGTCAATGGTCGGTGATTGACATTATTAGGGTACCGAGATTCTTATTATAGAAGGGATAGTGGTATACGATATGAGTTATGGGGTAAAACACTCATGACCAAGGTCAAATAGGTGACCTAGGCAGTGGACCATTTAAAGGCTCTGAGAAAGTGAAAGAATTCTACAAACGAAATGTGGTAGCGGGAAGGAACAAGATCATTCTTGAAACACACTTAGTACTTTTCGACTAATGAGAATGCTGCATTGCGGGACTTCATGTGCACTAAATGTCCAGTTCTCAGATCTGACTTATTTTCTCAAGACATATTTCTCTGATCAAATAAATTGTGCTAGGACTTTTATACAGCCGTTGTTCTCATAAATTGTCCGAGACGTTCATACTGATTACGTGACATCGATGACGTAACACTCCCCAGACGCTAAGACGAAACAACAAAGCTTGTGTTCGAGATCGGACCTCACACAACGGTCGATCTGACAGACACACTCATTATTGACCTATCTGGGACTCGATGTCGGTCATTGGCTTTTGGGCTATTTCATTGCTGATTTTCCGTGTTCGGGGACTTTAATTGCATATTCCATACAAAAATGAATCCCTTTTCCCATTTCGTGCAAAATAATTGATAGAACTCGCTGAAGGACTTCAAAAGTATGAGAATTTCCGCAAAATATATATCTGGTAAATAAAGTTCCCCCGTGATAAAATGCAGACCGGATCGGATTTTATATCTCAGAAGACTCCAAATCATCGGCAGCCGGTTGTTTTTAGTCATTCGGGAATATTAATCTCACTTTTTTTTTCATCACACGAGTGCTTAATAATTTATTTTGTATCAGTAAAATACAGTACATCAGTGAGGTAACTGAAAAACTACAATTGTAAAAGTTAAAGACAAAACACTCATTAAAATTAATGATAAAAAAAAAATAAACAAATTACAAATATTAAAGGCAAGTACACAGAAGTATAGGTAAAAAATCAAATGGTAATAATAAAATCTCAAATAAATACATAGCAATAGAAATGAATACTTTGTCAATGAGAAAGAACAAAAAAATATTTAATTATTCAGGAGACATTGTTGTCTCATTTCAAATGCATTTTTCAGAAATTGCGAAAGAGGAATGGACATGTGTTTGTTTCTCATCACAAAAATGAATTTGTATTCATTATTTTTATGTTTAAATTCCTTTATTAATTTTTTCTGCCTCAATGAATACTTTACCTCTTTGGGTGCAGTACTGAGGACATGTTAACACAAAATGTTTCTCCTCCTCTATTTCATTTGTGTTGCAGACCTCGCATATTCTGTTATTTAATGGAGTCTTGCTATGACGACCTGTTTATATTCTAAGGGTGTGGTTACTTAATCTAAATTTTGTCACGGTTTCACACAGTTCTGGATTTTTTAGGTCAATGATATAATTTTCAATTTTACTTTTTTGAGTTACTGTTTTTTCTATTGTTATTAATGATGTTCCTTTCCATTGTAACATGTACATATTTCTAATTGACGGCAAGCATGAACGAGATTTATAGAAATGTTGCAAAAGTGACATATGAAATATAGGTTAGACGGACTAAAAAAGTCTAATAATCGGTGAACCACTGCCGCCCAAAGGAAGTAGAGAATATTTGTTCATACACGAAATTTTCTATTTAATGTTTTGTCAAGAATTAGTATAAACTCAACGCATGAAAAAGGCGTTTATTTGTACAGCTATTCTTTCCTAATTCCAGCAGGCCGACTATAGTCAATAAATCCAAGCCCTGGGCAAGTTGTGCACAGGTCAGATGACCTGAGCAACGGTACATTGTTTGACGCATTCGCCTCGCCGCTTTTCACGGTGGGGGTTTGGGTTCGATTCTCGTACTGTTTGCTCGAGGGTATATAAATCAGAGTACAGTCTGCCTTGTCCTTCAAACATCTGGTATTAGTTTAGGGAGATTGGTTCACACGTTCACTTGCACTGAACAGATAATGCACTGAAATAGAAACAATAACTTTAAACGATAGGCCAGACAGCGGTTACTATCCGAAAATGTTGGTGACAATATATTAACTGAAAAAATGTTGTGTAAAGATCCGGAGAACATTCTTCCTCTGAATGTTCAAACACTAACTATGACTTTTTCTCTATAACAGTCGTACATTCCCCACAGTTGGATGACTTAAAACTTCAATAAAGGATCCTTAATTTAGAAATCAGTGTATCATAACTGTAAAATTGAGTACGGTAAATTGACCAATGAGTACCAATTGACTACACACATTACGACATTTTCTTGGCGAGAATATAATGTGATTGTACACTATCTTTTTTTGTGTGTTAATAACAATTTTGTTTTGATTGTACACTATCGCTGAGGCGCTAAACCTACTTTTGAAATAAAATAAAAGTTATTAAATAATCTTCAGAAAACAAGTTTAGTTGACAATATTACTCGCTGTCATCACCTTGTGTCTTACAATTAACTGTAAATCAGTGGTCTTTGACAACGCCCACAATTTCAGCCAATCAGCGTATGGTCGACGTTTGTGATAGCTCTTGACGTGTTGAAAACAGTTCAGACGCCTACAGCCCACAATAAAACTATTATTTGCATATCATTGCTTGGTTTGATCATGGAAGTGGTTTTAATAAATCGATAAAGTTTATAACTGATTAAAATTTGGATAATTCTCAAGTCGTGACAGTATCGGGGCTGATAATGTGTCTGTGTATTTTTTTCCGGGAGTTGACAAGCTCCTGTGATATAATTAGTAATCATCAAAAGCGGCGAGGGGCACATTGTGTTTTGGGGTTGACGTCCGATTATCGAGAATTCAGACTGTTCTACTCAAATTCACTGACCCGGACTTTCCGGCGGACATTATGCACTTTTTTTACCATTTTACTGCTTCAAGAGACACGAGTTTCTATGTGTTCTTTGGTCATGTAACCATAGTTACGGACATCTATTCTTCACTTCAATCAAATTTTTGCTCTAAACACCATTACTATGATGCGTTGAAGTGAACTGTGAAATCGCATTGATGGATACGTTTTGAAAGTTACACTCGCCTTTGTCCATAACTACAAAGAAAACAAATAAGACCGACATTCTTTATCGAAGGGATTGCAACACATATATTATAGTATACTATACTTTCTATGATTGAAC